CTCTACTTTGGGAGACCTCTTCTATGGGTCCAGCTCTGGTCTTTTTGTATTTTCAAGTTGATTGTGACTCTTGTGGGTGAAAGAAAGAAAAGACAAGGAAAGAAATAAAAGGAAGAAAAAAAAAGGGTAGGGGAATGGAAGAAAGAGCAATAAGTTTAGAAAGAAAAGAAGAAGGAATAAAACAGAAAATCTGAAAAAAGTGGACAAAAGTATCAAAAGATGAAACAGTAATAAAATTTAAAAGAAATAACAGATTACGTCTGGTTCCTCTGTGACTGTCCAGGTTTCTGGTCCCTTATTTTCATATATGCTTGTCAACTGCTGGCTTGCTGTCAGTGATTTCTAAGGTCTTGGAGAGAGGGAGAGATAAGCAGGTGGATTTTTAGGGCAGTGAAATTATTGTGCATGATATTGCAATGGTGGATACATTATACATGTTTAGCAAATGTATGACAAAGACATGTCTTTGTTCGGAGATGGAATGATTAAACTCTGGGAGGCCAATAAAGTTCCAGTATATTTTATTCTTCTATTTATTTATTCATTATTCAACCAGAAAATATTTATTTAGCATTAATTACATGCCAGATTATCGAGGGGCACAGGGTACACATGGCTGACATAATCTTTTTTCTCAAGACACTGTGGTCTGGTAGTGAGTTCCATCAATTGATCTGGCAATTATGATGAAGTCTAACCAGTGCTACATTGGGGAGAAGGGATTGTGCTATGGGGCTTGGCATTGTAAGAATCCTGAAAGTACTCCAGCTTAGCTGAGGTGCATTTGCACAGTGGGGAGTGGCATGGAATGCAGCCAGGGAGGTTGGCCAACAACGACCTTTGTCTTTATTTTGAAGTGTCTGAAACAAGATCAGAAACCCCATGTATTCAAGGGGAAAACTCTCTTGACCTCTTCCTTTATTTCTGAGGGTCATGGAAGCAATGCCTTAAATAATTAGACCAATCTGATATAGGAACAGTCCAAGAGTGCCTCACCCTTCTCCACTCCTGACTCAAATCTTACCTGTGAAAACCTTTGGACACTCATGCCTGGGCAACATGGATGTACAGGGGCCAATCTACTCCCTTCAGCACAGTCCTTGACCAACTGAGAATAGAAAATGATGAATAGGTGTTTCCCTCTTTCTTCCTCCAGGTAGGTAGCTCTGAGATGTATTTCACAAGGCTTCTCAGAAGGTCCTGTAGGATAGAGCATCCAGTTTCACATAGGGGCAGCCCACTCTCTTATGTACTCCTGTATTGGTTTTCCCTCTCTCTCTGTATGACTCTCCCTTTGCCTAACTCCTGCTCCCCGGGATCATATTATCATATATATTATCTTCGCCTTAGCTTTTGTCTCACACTCCACTTTCTGAGGAAACTAGGTCAAGTCAAGTAGAGAATGATATATGTATAGATGAGTATGTATTTGATATATAATACATCCTGTATAGATAATAATTAGAAAGTAATATATATTTTATGTATATCAGAATTATATAATATATTTAAGGTATATAAGAAAGATAATCCTGGAGAACATATGACAGGGTGTTAATATAAGAGGCAGGGCAACCAGGTAGAGATTTTCATAGGAGGAGATAAATAGGGTGTAGCTTGAGGTATGGGAGATTGGAGAAGATTTTTAATGGAGGTGATAAGGGAGGGCTAAGCAGGCAGATGGTACAATGCAAGGATGTATCAAGTCTCTTCTGAGACTGACCACAGACAAAACCCGACTATTTATTTCACAGGGATGGTTGTAGGTTAAATTTCCATAATAAAAAAAGTGACTATCTTTACACATTAGATTGTGACTATGAGAGGTTAGTCAAGCCAGTGTGGAAAGGACCACATCTTTAAGAACTTCAGAGTCTTGCTGAAGTAATCCTATCAAAACATTTATTTACTTTTATATGCCATAAACATTGCAACTAAAAGTAAAACATGGCTATGAAAACTATATTTTGTCCTTTCAGGCAATACACATTTTAAAGTCCTTGAATTGGTGTGATAGAAATATTTAATTACATGCTCCAGTACATCCCATGCTTGTTATGACTAAAGTATAACTGAATTAATGAGGGTTTTAGAATTACTTCCTGTCCAAGACTCTTAATTATGCATTCTATAGCTCAATGTATCTGTAATATTTTTATACTGGTGTAATTTAGAATCATCTATCACAGACCAGGGCAGTGAAGGAAATACCAGGATTTTACTTGTAAGTAAAAAATAGTCTGACTCTTAGAATTTTCTATTTAACTAGATGGATATACAATCAACTTTTCCATTTTTCTTCAGTGCTGCTATCTTAATAAATGTCCATGTTGAATTTGATTTATTACTTTATTTAGTATTGAAATGACAGGAATGTTAAAATGATCTCCACCTGAAACAGGACCAAGGAAGCTGTCTTTGTACAAAGGGACAGCACAGGCTTTTCTCATTCAGTCCAGGAGTCCTTCTCTCCACCGGACCAAAGGAAACCTGCGCTGCCGTGTGCTTTGGCTCTTTGAACTGTATGATCATGGGTTCTAACTATGCCAAGTTCATGCATATGAAATTAATTTAATAGCTGAGCTAGTTTACTGCTCAGCAGCCTCTTCTCTCTATCTCCTTTTCTCCCATCTCCTTTTTATTGGATGCTTCAACCTCATTAGTATTTCAGGAAAAAAACTGGATCCTGTCCATCATTTTTGTTGTTGCTTTCCTTTCCCTGGCAGACAGGGCCTGAAATTTCAATGGAGGAAGTGGGGAGAGACACAACACATTCAGAGTTTATGAAAGACCTTATTTACCATCAAAGTGAAGGTTTCCAGATACTCCAGCCCTGTTTTCTTATGCTCTTATGTCTTTGATGAGGAATTAAGAACTTCAGCCAGAACTACAGAAGACACTGAAAGCTGCCTGGCAGAAGGCACTACCTGGTGTCCTGCAGCCATTCACTAATTACCAGTGATGTTGAGGAGTACACCGAGGAGCAGAAGAATGGGCAGAAACTATTAATAAATTCCAACACTGGGCACTTCTGAGAGAAGAGTGAGTCTGCACACTTTAAGTGAATATTTTTCTGCCAGCTTCCTTGCACATTTTTAAATTTTTTGCAAAGCAATTATTGCAGTTTGTCTTTTGATAGAATTACTTAAACACGTGACACTGTTCTACTCAATTGTTAATCTTTAGAATGGTGGCTCTTGGGTGTTAGCATGTCTAAGAAGGATCTGAAGACATTGTCAGATTAGTTTAGGGCTCACATCTTTGAGATTCTAATTCAATAACTTTAGGATGGGGCTGGAGACTGTTCATTTCAACAAGATCTCAGGGAATTGTCCTATAACTGTCTATGACTCACCTTAAAAAATTACTTGCCAAGAGGTCAAGATCTGTATGGTCTCAGGCCCTGATACTATGCAACACACAAAGAGGTCCTCAGCACGTGTGTGTGGAACTGAGGTAAGTGCTTGGGTGGGTAAACCCCGTTGATGATTCAAGCTCAATGCATTGCTCTCCGAGGTGAGACTGAAGCTTTAGTGGGTTGTGTATAAGTTCATTTTTTTTTTGGATAGAAAAAAATTGCATAAACAGTTCTTCAATTGGGGATAATTTGGGAGAAATATTATTCTATCTAGGAGAACATCTGATGCAAAGCATGCTTTATTCACTCACTTTTTACATTAGAGGAGGGTGCAGACCTAGGGAGGAGGAAATGCATCCATTCCCTGCTGCCTGCAGTACATCGTGAAAGGTTCAATCCTGTTTGATTTTCCCATTCATTTCCATCCCAGGTCTTCCGCTTGTTTGTTGTTTACTAGGTGCTGTTAGCTCTGCTCTTTCATGTGCCTTGTCCTTTGTTCCTCTGCCACAGGGTGTGAAGCCATTTACTTATTTGTCCTTGGCTCATGGCAACCTCTCAATAGCTATGTGCATAAGAGAGGAAAATCACACCTTGTCCACTGGCTTCTCACACATCATTTAAACTGAGTCCTCAGTATAAGAAGAAACAGACAGTCCCCGTTCACTTCATTACAGAGGGGCATAGTGATTCATCACAAACTGGGCTCTTGAAACACATCGTCTGGAAAACCGATCATTATTTCAATGGCAATAATTGGGAAGCATCTTTATTTTTTAGAGTTTTGCTAATGTTTTCAACTATTGGAGCAAATTAATGTGCCACTTTCTTGCATCAAAACAATTCGCTCTTCCGTTTATTTAAATGTCACTTATTGCAGACTATTCAAAGTTGCTGTAAGTAGGAAAAATGACTCTGAAAAATACACATGCATGGTATCAAGACAAAATGCATATGGGTTATTTTTGCTTGCTTGTTAAATCAATTGGAACTATTCAGTGCTCATTAGGTTCTGGATCTGTTTCAAGTGAGAAAAGGCAATAAACATAAACATTAAAATCAAGACATGCTCTCTGTTTCTCTCCATTTTCAAATCCTAAGAAGCCGTCTCTAGGTTTTTTGATGAGCATTTGGTAACAACTTTGTTATAACTAGTGATACTGTCTTAAATTATAGCAGCTCTTAGAGACAAAACTGGCACAGATAATCTTGCCTCAGGTTGGGTTTACACACCATCTAGACGTTGAAATAAAGTTACAGACGTGCTAAGGATCTCCCTTCCAAACAGCACAGTGCAATGGTGATGCTTATTGTATCTGGAGCTTATTGCATAGGCCAGGGCAGTCCCTTTCCCATAGTGTCTCTGTTTATTATGCTAATTGACTCTCCCCGGGGCCGGCAGGACAGTATCAACCCTGTGGAATATTCTCGGTTGGGGGGAAGTGGTGAAAAGCAAACCTGTTTTGTGCCTTAATAAAACAAACAAACAAACAAAATCAATCTGTTTTGCTTTTTTTCAAAGACGGGAGGGTCAATACCACGGTTGTTTTTGTTCCCATCCAGTTATGTAAGCCTGGGGACTTGTTTCTCTGCCTTCAGGGTTCGTACAAAACACATTAGAGCTAAACAATAGGCGGGAGACACAGGGGCAACCCTGGAGCTGCGTCTTGGAGTGTGACCTCCTAGGTTTGGGAATCTCCCAGTAGTTCCATCTCAAGTGCTGTGTGTGTGTGTGTGTGTGTGTGTGTGTGTGTGTGTGTGTGTGTGTGTTTAGTTAGCTGGCACGCAACACACTTCCCCAGGGTTGTGTTTCCTTTTTCCTGAGATTTGGCGAAGGGTAAAGGGTCGGAGTCACATGGATACAAAGCATTTGATTAATGTCCAAGTCACCGCTGTGGCTGCCAGAGCCGCCTCCCCTCCAGCCGGGGCCGTGTGAGGCCGGAGCGGCGGGGCCAGGCGCGCAGGTCCCTGGCCTGAGCCCCATCTCCCGGGAGTTTCCTCCGCAGCGCCCCGCGCCTCCCACGCTGGACCTCCAGCGAGCGCCCCGGCCGGTCCCCGCGCCCCAGCCGAAGCCTCTACCCGGCATGTAAAGTCGCGCGTCCCTCCTCGGACTTTGCAGAGCCATCAACTTTCCTTTCCCACCGCGTGGACCGGACCGCGCGCAGCCCTGTCGCCAGCCCGGGGTCCCACCGCCACCATGAACGACGAGAGCCGCGCGGACGGCCGCGCCGAGAGCGCCAAGGACCTGGAGAAGCAGCTTCGCCTGCGCGTGTGCGTGCTCAGCGAGCTGCAGAAGACCGAGCGGGACTACGTGGGGACCCTGGAGTTCCTGGTGTCGGTGAGTGTGCAGGGGCGACGCGGGGGTGGCGGGGCGCGGGAGGCATTGTTTGCACGGGGACGGGACGGGTCCCGGCATCCCGGGCACCTGAATCCGGATGCCTCACCCCTGGGGGGAAAGTTTAATGCCTGGGGATGCACTACGTTGGCAGGGCCTCGGAGAGCGGCTAGTTTGGAAAGTTAGCTGGAATGAGAGAAGGCGCCCGTTCAGGGAATCCCGGCGGTCCCCATCTTTACTTACTCTTCTTTACACCCCCGCCCCGGCCTGCTCGGTTGCTCTGTGCACCCCCCCTCCCCGCCCCCCGGCTACCCCCCTTCTCTTTCTCCCCTGGGATTTTGTGTTAGGATTTTGGCTTGCTGATTAAAATCAGTCTGCTACATTCAAATACATTTTTAAAAAATCTTTTATTCTTCTAGAGTCTGAGTTCATTATTCAGATTCCATGGCAGTGAAGTCCCTTTAGTTAGAATAATCTTTGAAGCAGGATTCTGATGGAGGGTAGGCACAGAAAGAGCAGCGGGGTTATGATCTCTAGCAGCTGTGTGATATTAAAGACACATGTAGTGGTGACCCCATCCTAGACCTACTAACTCCTCCTCCACCCCTGGTTTAAATCAGTCCCCGGTCAGGTCCTGGGTCCCCTGTGACCACTGAGCCCAGGAGAGGCGCATAATAAAACTCATGTCAAACAACTTCAAGATTTCCTAGAACTGGCAGAAACTTTGTTTCAAAGTTTCAGCTTGGCCCAACTGGAAGTTGCCTTTGTGAAAGGTTCATTCATTGTAGGATATGGAGGGACAAAACTGAGTGAGAGAAACTTCTGAGACATCACTCAAGAGTTGGATTTTTTCTACTCACTGCTGCAAAGACAAAGAATTTGAGGATTGGCTGCTCTCCACCCAGATGCCCAGGAGAGTATCCTTCAGACTCAGGAGCCATGGCCTTTGCAGACTACCCCAGCTTCTAACCTTCCTCTTCCACCACCCCCTTGGGAAAGCCCTGGTCCAAAGGAAAATGTTTCATAGGCCGAACTTCCTGCTCAGTTTTCTCAGAGGTGTAAGTGTTCTGCCTATGGTTATGATAGAGGAAATTAACTACTTAGCTATGGCAAAAATGCAAGAACATTTTCTCAAGGGATTTAAGGTGTGTAGGTTGGCTTCTGGTTAATTTCACAAGTTAAAATCAATCTACCTGAACCCTAGGGACTACCTTCTTTAGAAATATATGGGCATTTGAGACGATACTGGTAATTGCTAATAAGTAGAATTGCACACTTCCATGCAACAATGTCAAAGAGGCACGTTTTCAAAGATTTGACTTTTAATAACCTCAGATATGGCTTTCTGAAACCTTGGTGGTAATGAAGTCCTTTGACTTAACAAAAATCTGAATCATGTTTTAAATTGCATTAGTTATGCCTTCCTGGAGTTTATGAAAAAGATACTGTGCAAATTCCTAATTTAGAGAAATAGCTAATCTAAACTACCTTGGAAACCAAGTTGATCTTTATTTAAAATATCACTTTTCCCTCTAATGTTAACACCTGCTAATTAAAACTGCAAACTAATTGCTATATAGAGCTAAGTAAGAGATTATGGGAGGCATAAAACAAATTGCATTTTCCTATTTACAAGTAGATCATCTTATAATTTCATTCTTCTCATCTGATTCAGAAATTATGGATTTTTCATTTTCTTTTGTCCACTATTTGTGCACATAAGTGGTCACACAAACACACATAAACACAAGGACACTGACTGGCCCTAAAGTCATCCTTAACAAAAGTTTTCTTACTTCTGTGTAGTTTTGTAACTATTCACAATCTAAGACATACTTAATACACTATTAGATTTTCTTGAGTATTATTTATAGTAATAAATAATGCATTTTTTGTTTTCATGTATTATATTTGTTTACCTTCAGTTGATATAGTCAATCTAGTTTTAATTTTAGCCTAAGCTAATATGTACCAAGAGCTTTAAAAATATTTAAACCCTATGGCCTGGTAATTCATGTTGTAGAAATTCATTCTAATAGAATAATTAGAAATGCAGACAAACAATAAAAGTAATTAAAAAGTTAGCTACAGTATGAAGTAAGTACTGTGGTAAATTTGTTGCAAAAATTTGATAGTGCATTCTTAAGTCAAATTTAAATATTTGTTATTTTAGTAATTTAGATTTCTGTTGTTGCCTCAACATGGATGAAAGGTAACACCTATCTTTATTACAAAGAAATAGAAAACATAATTTTACCAAGAACATATTTTCACTTGTGGGCCTGGAAATAAGTCAACACAATGGTATTATTGCTCTTGATTAAATGGTCGTATAGCCTGAGGTGATAACTTTTCTTACCAAGATCTTTTACTTCTGATTCTTTTCTCTTCTCTTTTCCAGCCCTTTGCCTCTGAAGGAGAGAGCACCTTTCCCCACCTCAGTCCCAGATAGTCTGTGACAATGGCCTTGTTCTCTGTACATAGACTCAGTATCCATGCTCTCTCTCAGGTTGCCACCCAGGAACACACTTCCTGATTGAACAAGGGACTGTCCTTTAAGTTTATTGCTGTCATTTAGAGTGGCTCTCTTCCCGAGGGTGCCATGCTTTCTCAGGGCTCCTCTTTTGCCCCTCCCTAGCCCTTAGTTACCTGCTAGATTCCTACTGGGCCTTCAAGACTTAGTTCAAGTCCTGCAGAAACCTCTCATGGACCCCTCTCTGTCTGCTGTATCCCCCTCCAAGTTAGAGTGCTCACTGCTGTGTACCTACTCTGCCCTGTGGTTACTTCTTTCTTAGCACCAAAGACAGCCTATGCATTTATTTGTTCACCTTTGTCTCATTCTACTAGGATGTAAGATTCTTGAGGGCTACATTTTATTCATCTGTGTTTCCCCAGAATTTTGTCCGGTGCTTGAGACATTGTAGGTACTCAGTACATGCTGAATGAATGAATGAATGAATGAATGAATGAATGAATGAACAAATCAACAAGCAAACTGACCCATCTTCTAAATTTCTACCTATTTTTAAGGACAATTTCTTAATCCTTTAATTTCTGATTTGTTTTTCTTACATTTGGTATGTATAGATAGTGAAATAATTACTTCAGCTCATATACATGTGTACTTTTGTAACAAAATATTTTAAATTAAACATTGTGTCTTCATTAAAACAGAAGCATGATTTAAATCAGGCATTGAGGTATGAAAAACTTTGCAACACAGTGTTATTTGAATTCACTGTATTCTAAATTTTTATTGGAGAGTATGGATAGATTATATTATCTAGATTAATTATTTTAGGTGAAGAATAAAATGGTGGAGAGTGGCCAAATACATTATATATTCTTGTTTTGTTTGGGAAATGAGATTTCGTGTTTCATTAGAAATACTCTAATAAAACATTTCTTCTAAAGAAATGCTATCATGGATGTAGTGTTTAATGTCCTAAGTCTTGACAAAAGTAGCCTGCAGCCAGCTTCCTGTCTGCACCCTCGTCCCAGGGCCTGCCAAAGTCAGGATGGTTTCACAGACCCATCTGAGTGGATGCAAAAAGGGCAGATCAGGGCCAACCTCATGGGTCTCACTTCATAGCAGTGGCATCGGGCTTAGTGCTCAGGAGGACCTCGTGCTAGGTTTAATGCTCTGCTATCACCATCTCGAAATTGTTGCGAAATCTATCTTTGAGCTTGTCTTTTGCAAGCAGAGTCCAGTGGGACAATGGAGTGTGACCAGAGTGGATACATAAATGAAGGAAAAAACTTATTTCAGCACCTTTAATAACACTTTCTCCTCTGCTTTTTGAACAGAAGGCCTCCCAGTTTTATTTTGCAGTGGGCCTGGACAGTTGTGCAGATGTGTTTCTCTGTAGCAAGTGGTGGCGAGGCAGGATGACTGTGTTCATTCTTGTCTAAGCGGGGACACTTTTGAGAGTGAGAGTGGCTTTTAACGATGACAGTGGGAAACGGATTGTTCTTGGCAAATCAGCACACTATGGGCACTTTAAGACAAAGTTGTGTGTTTTGCCATAAACTGAAGATACTGAAATTTGTTATCGGCCCACGTTTTGACGTCAGATATGCCGCAATAACTTTGGACACATTCCTGAACTTTGCAAGCCCCATTTTCCTGATCTGGAAAGTGGGGAGACAGTAAATGTCTCCGGGTCTCTGGGAGGGCGGGATGATGTATGCATGGGGCTCAGCTCAGAATCTGGCTGGGGCGGGGCGTGTGCGCTCAGTGAATAGTCGCCATAATCTCCTCTGATGCTGCAGTTGTCCTGCAGAGCCAACACGTGCCGCTCATCCTCAGTGTATAACTTTTGTCTCTATTGCATTCTCCTCTACCTGTGTGCTGTGTCTCAGAGCTGCTTCTTGGCTCCCTACCCTGTTTCTTTCTGTCAGGGCACTCCTTCCCTTGCTATTCTGCAAGAGCTCAGTGCTCTTTAAGACAGCGAGAACACTTTATATCTATGTAACAACTGTAGTAAGTATGGTGCTTTACAATTTACCCTCAACAACTGCATATTTATTACCTTGTCTGGTCTGATATATGTGTCTCTTAGCTCTTTCAGATGGTGCTCCGTAGAGCTCCAGGGTGCTGTGTTTTGCCTACAGGGTCCTCACAAAGGGCCTGGGGAGCTGAATTGTGTGGGTTCGGCTCTCTACCCTGGCTTCTAGCATAGCCCCATCTTGTCCTGGTTTGTGTTTTTGCTAATGCTGAGAAAAACCACTTAACTAGATGGCGAACTCCAAGAGAAAACCCACTTAACTAGATGGCAAACTCCAAGAGAATAGCAACAGTATGTTTACTTCCTGTGTGTGCTTTTCTTGGCCTAAATGTAGTGCTTTGTAAATAGCAGGTGCTCAAAAAACAAACAGGCAAATAAAGCAAAAGCAAACAAAACAGTTTGAATGAATCTGAAAACAACTTCTTTCAGTCCTGATCTAACTTATCCAGGCGCAGATTAATTGCTTCAACACATTATGTTAAGGCTTATGTTACT